TGCCCCAATAAAGGGTAAAGTACTATAAAAAAAGATCTGAAGTGGAGCAATATTATTTTTGGGATTGTTCATTCAATTAGTGCAATTATATGTTTTCTAATTCTAGTTATGATTTCATCCAAATACGTTTTTACGAAATTTTTTTGTGAATCCAAGATTATCAACTATACTAAGAATGTTCCGCCTGATAATTTCCATCATCCCATGTTATTATTAGAAGTACTCAGAGAAATTAATCCCTTCACTCTGGCGCATTAAAAATTCTGTTCCAGCCATTAAATTTTGAATCCTTTAAGCACCGTCACTTCCTTTTAAAAAGTGAACTTTTACATTAACGACTTGGTTATTCAACCTTTAATTCGCCTCGACTGGGTTCTAATCGTCTCCAATTAAGATTTTTACCCTCATTCACATTTTTTATAAGTTCACGGGGATTTTTTCAGAATCCTAATGAAAGTTTAGTAATTTATGTACAGAAAAGTGCAAATTGAAGAGTTTTTCTGTTTTTCTCCAATGCAATTAGTCAATAATAGCAGTCATATCCTGAAAATTGGCAACTATATGTTTTTATCATGCTTTATCCAACGATAATGGGGAATGTTCCTCCTGACCAAATGTACTTTTTATAAAAGAGCCCTAAAACAACGCATTTTGAACGTATCATTTCAACTTTTTTCTTTAAAAAATTATTTAAATACTTAAAAAAAAGGATGAAAAAATGCATTCAACATTTAAAGGGATTCGTTTCTATTTCACCATTTGGCAACATCGGTTATAGCTAATAAAGGACAATAAGGACAATGAATCTCTACCTGTATGAGTTAAACAAAGATGACATATTTCAGAGGCGTGCTGTTTTATTTACTTATGTTCCGAGTGCCGAGACATTCTGTGACATATGCCATTTTGTGCACCTAACCTATCTTCCTTTATATAAATAAGTAACAAAACAACTGTTGTTTATGTGGCTTGTGGGGGTGGTATATTTGAATACTTTCCGAAGTTAATTTGAAAAACTCATGAATTGAACTCCAAAATGTTGGAACTTACAAATGAAAAATATATCTCAGTGCCAAATTATTATTGCACGGATTCGAAAGATCAATTCTTTATGTCGTATATAATCTTCTGGTTCTGATTCCACAACTCTAGTTGCAATCCACTTTTCTCTGACTCCGCTTTGACTCGTTAATTTGAACTTTATTGATGGGCCTGACACGCGGAGGGAGAGTGACAATGGATTCCCGTGAAACTGGAGGGAAGAGACGTGTGTTGGTTCACACATCACTTCGAGAAGGATCGGACACTAATCTCCTAACAAGGACAAAAACAATCGCAATCCCACCCTACCTCCCTAATCTATTAGATTTCAGATTACATGGAACAACTCCCTGACTAGTTTGCAGACCTTTTTTTAAAGCTGATTAAATGCTTTCGGGATCGATTTGATTTGAAAGTTCCTTAGTCGACAAGGGTCGGGATTTCAAAACATTGAAGAACACTTGTGCTAGAATTCACGGGTAACAATTCATGAAAAAATGTATGATAGTACATACAGAGCCCTATTAGGCTAGCATGGCGAATCCAACAACATTAAAAAAAAATACATCGATTTGTAGCTAAATAGTTGCTAATTAGTTGCCAAAACAACGATTTTGTTGCTCGTGCCGATCCCTAGAAATCGCAAATAATGCTATCGTGATATGAAGGTTGCAAGGTAACTCAATAAATTATATACGTTTGATCTTTACAAGAGATTCACTTACTATTTAGTTGCTAAACCTTAAATTTTTTTTTATTTTTTCTGATATTGAAACTGTTTTTCTCTGGAATTGAAGATGTTTTAGATTTGTTGCTCACCAAGAGTGAACTTAAATACACCTTGAGTATCAGCAACAAAATAGTTAAAACCGATCCTCCGATTTTCAATATTTTTTTCATTTTCCACGTTCTTGCTATTTCGAAACTGGTTTTTCTTAAAATAAAACAAATTTGTTGCTCACCAGGAGTGAGCTGATTTTTAATATTTTTTTAATTCTCCCTGTTGTTGCTATCTTGAAACTGGTTCTTCTTAAAATAAAAAGTGTTTCAAATTTGTTGCTCATCAGGAGTAAACTCAAAATACCTTGACTATCAGCAACAAAATAGTTGAAACCGATGGGAAAATTTGATTTTATTTTCATTTTCCACGTTCTTGCTATCTTGAAACTGGTTTTCCTTAGAATAAAAAGTGTTTCAAATTTGTTGCTCACCAGGAGTATACTCAAATACACCTTGAGTATCAGCAACAAAATAGTTGAAACTGATCGGCGGATTTTTTTGTTTTCATTTTCCTCGTTCTTGCTAACTTGATATTGGTTTTGATGGGAAGAAAAAGTGTTTTGAATTTGTTGCTCATCAGGAAGGTACTCAAATACATTCCGAGAATCAGCAACAAAACAGTTGGTCTTGATCGGCTGATTTTTAATATTTATTTAAATTCTCACTGTTCTTGCTATTTCGAAACTGTTTTTTTCTGGAATACAGTGTTTTTCAAATTTGTTGCTTACCAGGAGTTTACTCAAATACACCTTGAGTATCAACAACAAATTAGTTGAAACCGTTCGGCCGATTTTCAAGTTTTTTTTTCATTTTCCACGTTCTTACTAACTTGATACTGGTTTTCCTGGGAAGAAAAAGTTTTTTTAAATTTGTTGCTCATCAGGAGGGGTAAGGTCACCCGGGGTAAGTGTAAATTTGGGGTAAGTGGAACCTATGACTATTAATTATCTTCAAGTAAATCGAAAAAAACGGCAACACTCTCAAAAAAAGAAATGTTGGAGATTATAGGCCGATATGTTAAAGAAAACAATATAGTCACACGTTTTAAAGACGGAGTTCCTGGTGATGACTTCTTTGTCCGATTTAGGAAAAGTCACAAGCTGAGTCTGAAGAACCCTCAAGCTGTGGAAGTGGCCAGAAAAAAGAGTATAGATCCGTTCATAATTGATGAATACTATCAACATCTGAAGGAAGTTACTCTAAATGTTGCTCCAACAGAGATTTGGAACCTTGACGAGACTAGTTTTTGTTTAGATCCCAGCCGTGTTAAAGTTCTTGGACCGATAGGAACACCTACTCACCGAGCAACTAGCGGTCCTGGGAGAGAAAATATTACAGTCTTATTAGCTGCAAATGCTGCCGGCGAGAAACTACCGCCATTAATAGTGTTTAAGGGTAAAAATGTATGGGACTTGTGGATGTCACCCGATGCTGTATTTGAAGGTATGTCCTACAGTGCTACTCAAAACGGCTGGATGGAAGCGGAAACCTTCATAAATTTTTTTACAAGAAATTTCTTGCGCAATATTCACCCTCAACGGCCAGTAGTTCTTATATATGATGGCCATTCTACGCATGTAGGTTTATCACTGGTGCTGAAAGCAAGAGAGGAAAATGTCACAATACTTAAGTTACCACCACACACCAGTCACGTGTTACAACCACTAGATCTTAGTGTCTTCAGACCTATGAAAATTAAATGGGATGAAGAACTAGTAAAGTGGCAGAGACAAAATTATGGAAAAAAATTGCCAAAATCAGTTTTCTCAAGCATGATTGGCACTATTTGGAAAAATCTCCAGCCTGAAGTGATAAAAAACGGTTTTGAAAAAGCTGGAATTTTTCCCTTTTCTGATAGAGTGATTCCTCAAGACAAATTCGAACCTGAAGCATACCAAAGGTGGCTGTTATCATTGACAGAGAGAGAGAGATCTAACTTGATACTGGTTTTCCTGGGAAGAAAAAGTTTTTTTAAATTTGTTGCTCATCAGGAGAGGTACTTAAATTCACTCCGAGAATCTGCTACAAAATAGTTGGGCTTGATCGGCTGATTTTTAATATTTATTTAAATTCTCCCTGTTCTTGCTATTTCGAAACTGTTTTTTTCTGCTTCAGCTTGCTTCAGTCAAGGTTGTTTGAAGTTTTTTGTAAGATATGGGTTCCGAGAATACAGATTTATTATTTCACACTGAAGCCAGGTGGCTATCAAGGGGAAATGTTCCAAATAAAATATTTGAGCTTAGAAATGAAATGTTTGTGTTTTTAAGCGATCGTAGCCACCCTTCAGTAGACCTATTATGCAACACAGAATTTATCTTGAAGTTAGCCTACCTTGCAGGGTATTGGTATATTTCAAACAAGTCTTTGCCAAAAAGAAACGGCAATATCTTTGCTTGGAGTTGAAAAATATAAGGGTTTATTAAGAAGTTGTCGCTGTGGGAAGCTGCTGTGAAAATACTTGATTTGAGCGTTTTCCCCACATTGCTGAACATGTTGGAGCAAGTTGAATGTGTGCAGCTTCCGCAAGAGCTAGCAACTTGTTTCAAAAAACAGATGTCCACAATTCAATTAATATTTCTATGAAGACCTCTAGCAGTTTAATTGGATTCTAAACCCATGTCAAGATCTGAACGAAATCAATTCGTTGAGTTTAGCAGATCAAGAAGAATTCATTAACCTTCAGTGCAATTACTCATTAAAGTCAAGACTTGAAAAAAAGGAGAATCTTCGTCAGTTTTCTGGATAACTGTTGAAAACGAGCTCCCAAGACTGTATTAGCAAGCGATAAGAATGCTAGTACCATTTCCAACTATATATTTATGTGAAACAGGATTTTCTGCCCTTGCAGCCATGAAGTCAAAATATCGTGGAAGGCTTGATGTCAGCAAAAAACTAAGAGTTGCTTTATCAGACATCACTCCCCGGTTTAAAAAAATTGTGCAGGTGAAAAACGGTCCTATCCGCCACATTAAAAACTGATTTTGAAGCCAACTTGTGTATCTTGATTGAATTTTGTATTGAGGATCAACCACTAAAATATATATCATTTATGTTGAAATTAGTTTGGGTTTTTTTCTCTTTAGTTCAGGTTTGATAATGTTGCTAGTTGACTTTCATTCTGTATTTTGTTTATGTTTCCATGATTGTTTTAATTTGTGTATACATCAAGAACATTAGGCTGAGCTTGAGGAAATACTTTGTATTGCCATAGTATGTATTGTGTACCACTGTGCTTTGTATTTTTAGGCATATAAAAGTATAAAAGCAAGAAGTATTAAAAGTAGGCCGATATGTACATTATAAAGGGGGCGCGAATTTAGGTTAGGCCACGAAGGGGGGCTCAGGTTGAAAAGTTTGAGAACCTCTGATCTAGCCCATTCCGTATCTCCTACGTTTTCGATTTTTCCACACTGGTCCTCCTTATCCCCCTCATCCCTTGAATTCCAATTCAGCATTCTACCAAGTTTATTCGGAATTCAACAACATTATCTTTAACGAACGGTCTAACCAACTGCTTGTGTATAACAATGGAGTTACTTAAATTGAAATTATCGTCATTGAATTTCGAAACCGTACAATCACCAGTAACTCTAAGAAGTTTATTATTTCCTTCCAGGTCTTCGAAGTCAATATGGAACTGATATTTTCTATCTTTCAGTGAATTATTTTTTATGAGTTTCACACCGAACTGAATACCATAACCTAACTTCTGGGATATATAGAGTTTGAAGATCTGTCCATTGTACTCGGTATAAACTTTCAAGAAACTGAAATCGTCCATGGTGAAAACAACAGAATAATGTAAATCAAAGTAGAAGTTAGGATGCTTATTGATCAAATGGGAAGTCATCTCCGAAATAGGCCCTTTCCATCCGCAAACGTGGTTCATGTAGCATTTTGTTCTGTTAATTGCTCCAACGAAACATATGCTTTCGTGAAGAGAAACTTTCATTAACGGCCCAGCAAAACAACAACCTCGATTTCTGTTCTTACATGGAAAGAAAATGTGTTCCGTCACTTTCTCCAGTGCGAAATTCCTGTTACTGTTGAGGGGAATCTGACACATGGGACATTTTTTCACTTTGATTTTACAAGAACTGCAGATGCTGTGACCAACAGCGCACATGAAAATAGGTGGTCTCATGTACTCCAAGCAAACGGGACATTCTAGTTCAGACAGGAGGTTTTCGTTAATATTTCCAGATTCTTGTCCTATTTTGACTGTGCAAAGTAATGTTTTTGTATTCAACACCTTCTTTAAAGTAGTTATATCTAATTCGGTCATGACACTGTTTTCATGTCTTTTCGTTTTGTAATCCACAACAGGGAGATCTCTCATCTGCATATTCCGTCGCCTGTCTGCATCCTCTAGCAGAATGTTGTATTTCAATTTTCTAGTGTTCAGATAATCCCAGTTTGATACACTAAAGAAACATGAGGCTGACGAAAAGTTTATCTTCAAGATGAAGACCTGATTTCCCCATACCATCAATTTGTTCACAAGACTGTTCTTCTCTCGGTAACCAGAAGGAGCTTCAAACTCTCCTCTAGCAACCAGTAGTTCTTCATGGTCATTTTTGAAATGATCCACAATATCTTCTTTTATAACTTTCTTCTGACAAGTCAGAGCTGGGCATACAACTGAAACAAACTTACAGATTTTCTCATGAGCCTCAGCTGATCCCCAGGCTAGCATTGCATTACATCCAAATTGATTGTTTATACAAGGGAAATACATATACTGCGCCAGTTTGTTGTAGAAGTCTGCAGGAACTGCTTTGGGATCTGGGCATCTTCCGCACAAGGGTTTATCTGCCAAAATGGTGACTGGTCCTACTGATAAGTATTCTTTGCATCTCGAGCAAAATTGAACGGAATCTGAATCCAGAAATACTGAAGGCTTCTTCACACGAACCTGTGAACAAACGTTTGAATGTAGACTCAGTGAACTCGAAGCTTCAGAAAGTGATGGTAGGTAAAAACTTGTCAACTGTTCATACAAAAATTCTGAAAGAGTTCTTTGCATCAGTTTGAACTATTTAGGATATACTTTGTGTCCAAGATAAGGAAGGCTATAATAGTGACATTGGAAATAGTGAAAGATAGAAACTAGTATAGCTAAGGAGAAAGTTCAAGAGTTCATTCAAATAACAATAAGAATTGATCAGTTCTGGGGATATTCGGAAAGAAGAATATTGCATTTTTGAAGGTATATTTTACTTCGGTGCGTTAGGGAAAAATTAAATTTTTACGATACGCGCGCATACCTTCACGAAAAACCGACACCCTGAAGTTACCTTCTTCTTTACTTCATATGTCCTTTGCTTCTCACTAGAGCGCATTTGGCGAGACGCCCCGTCTCCTTAGTGAACAGAATCTTCGTCCGGGTATGCAGCTGTCTTGCTTGAGGCAACGCCGCGGCACGAAAATCGTGACGGTCGAGCGATGGCGACTGCGGAGCGACGCAGAACGATGAAAAGAAGTATCTCGCGGGGCTATAAAACGCTACCGCTCGTTTCGTGCGCGTCACATATACTGTCGATGTTGTACGCATCGCCACTGTTCCGCTGTCGCGCGCCTCGCCATCGCTTGACCGTCGCCATTTTCGTGCCGGCAGCCTAAGTTTTCTAATTCACTTTTTTATTTGTTCGAAAAACTTCGTATTTTCACTAGGGGGCCACTAGTCCTCTCAATTTGACTTTCACAAATAACAAATCTATTATCGCACTGACGACCTCGTCGAATCCCTCGACATCCAGCCTGGTTGCTGGCGTAGAGGGCCGCCGGTTCTCGCAGAATGTCTTTCACCTCCATATTCATTCGAACTTGACTTTAGTTTTCAAAAAACACCTCCACTCCGACCACAACATCGACGTGCCATTTTTGGGGACGATCGTTATAGGACGATCGTTATCGACACAACTGTCCTTGAAGTTAGCTAGTCAACATTTGAGTTTTTCAAAAAAAAATAACAACAGAGTGAAGGAAAAGACATCTACGTATGTTTGCGTGAGAACTGGCAACTGTATTCACGATATTTATTCAAGTGTCTTTGAACCTATAACACGTGTTTTGTATCATTCCGAATGAAATATATATATATAGGGTCTTTAATAAATATGCGGCAAGAATTCGATGGACTATTCTGAGGATATTTTGTCTTCTGATGATTTTTGATATGACGCTTTGTTTCGAAGATAATAATAATGATAATAATGATGAGCAGCAGCTGATGAACTCGGTATAGTTTTTGACACTGAACGAGGTGACCACAACTCTGTCACCGAGTTGGAACCTGTTCAGCAAAAAGCTCAGATAAAAGCCGCAAAGATAACCTCACTTCTGCGGAAACACAAGGATAAGCCAATGCATGGCGTCTTCTCCAATAACATTGGAGACTTGGCTTATCAAAGCGCCTGACCTTCGCTTTTCTTTCGCCTTTATTTCGGCTACGTTGATAATTTTAAAATTACCAAAAGTGTTATTGTCTAAATTCTTTCTTGCCCCGTATCTTTGAAACAAAGCGCCCTATCAAAAATCATCATAGGACAAAATATTCTTAGAATAGTCCAAGGAATAGTCCCTTAATTTTTTGCCGCATGTTTAAAAAGTACCATGGTAAATAAAAATTATACATAAATATATACTTTTCTAAGTAATATATCATGGTAACTGATGTTTATTAACGATTTATTGAATTAAAGACGATTTACTGTGAGTATAAGTGATAAAAGTGGTTTTTACATAGATTTGAGGTTAGCTGACGGTATGTATCATTTGTTTACATCGATTATTCAATATGAAATAAATGTACAAATAAATCTTCACAATCTCCCAAAGACTGAATATAAGGAATTACCTGTGAAGTACTAATCGTGTGAAGTACTCAAGTCACGTAGTGATAATACCGATAAATTTCTAGATTACCAACTCAATGAAACAATTCTAATCAAACAGAAACCTGATACAGTGTTGCCACGTAATTTATGCTCGATATCAGTACAAAAGGGATCTACTTTGCTTGAAAAAAAAGAGAGCCGCGGATTCACAAAGAATTGCATGTTCACTTTGTTTCTTATTAGTAAAAAGTGATAAATGCATTGGCAGCTGTGTTTTTTTTATCTGCCTCACGTGACCAAGCTCTCGAAAAACTGCTTCTCTATTTTGCTTTGTTCCTTTAGATATGGGCGGTAAATTAGGAAATTCATCATGAAAAAGAGAATTGCTATGGTATTTCATAACTTTCTTATTATCAATACCCCAGCATGAAATGAGTCTTCCCTGATGGACTCTTTGGTTACAGCCATACCCACGCATCTTCCATATGTTTCGAGGCATCAAGGAAAGAAAAACATGCACATATCTCTTAAGTTAAACAATAATAATTTTTCAGGTCTTAAACTTAATTAAGCAATATGACAAGTTATCTCATCGAAAATAGTAGTCATCCCTTGTTTGAATCCTTAAAAAAGCATACATTCCGTAAGTAACCTCATTTCAGTTTCCACACTGTATATTCCCCAATTTCGAAAAACGATTCAGCCTTTTTCCACCCGTTACCCCGCTTCAAACACGTGTATGTGATCGACATCGTTTGGGGTTGTTTATATGTAGAGTGTATCGGAAAATGAAGGCAGGGAGTTCAGGTTATAGGCTCGGAACGAATCTGGCCTCTTGTATAATTCAATTTCACGGTTGAATCTTTCAGTTCACTCTCTCTGCTCTGGTGTCCGATCGACGGCCTATTACGGCGGTTCGGATCCAGGAAACACCGATTGCGAGCGATTCTAATGAAACGGGTTTTGGTCAGTTGGACATTCGTGTTGATCCTCATCAGTGAGAGTGGGAGACTTTGAACAACTCAGTGAAACAACGATAATGATGAAACTTATAGTAGTTATAACAATTGGATCCTTCGTTGATCAAAACTTTTATTTCTCAAAAGTAACATTTGAATCAATCCACTAAATCATGCCTGAATGATTTTTCATCTCACTTAGATCTGCCTCCCTTTCGCCTGATTGTCTGGTCCAATCCTCCTGGGGGTTGATCATTGATTTCTATTAATTTCTTTCAATTCTCATAAATTTTTATTTCTTGCTCAAAGGAATTGATAGTTCTTTTTTTCTTACTTACATTCATGGCTGTGTCCAGATCTAGGAAATATGCAACACAAGCTTTGCTTAGGCGTTTCCCAAGAATTGAACACTACCACTTATTCATTGTTATTTTTTTATTTGCTGTAATCATTATTAAAGATATGTAACATCTATCATAGACAAGAATATGTATCTGAATTGAATAAATTGATTGATAATAATCACTCACTAGAAGTAGAGATACGACCACTTCCTTTAGCCAAGGAAGCGGGTGGTCTGAGAATTTTAGGATCCAGTGACACCTATACGGCCTGATGGCTTCGACAATTGCGAAACCAGCCAAACGTCACACCCATGCTCAATCCCTAGAAATATGGGATGGAATCAAAGGATTCCGTCTTGCCAGGATCACCCTGAACGACCCTAAACACAAAGACAACAAAAAACACAAATTCATAGGGGAGATCCAGACTACTCACATCTATCTCATAGACATATCTATTCTAGAAGATGCAGACATAGGACAGAAAGAATAAGAAAAAAACAGAAAACTGCACATTCCCAGCCATAGAGATGAAAGATATATGGAGACAAGAACGTGTAGCAATAATACACATACAGAAGCAACAATAATTAAAATGTGTAACAAGGTCTGTGACTTTTTGAAACCTCTCACATTTTTTCGCCTTGCTTTGAGATACTTTCGTCATTCATATTCGGTATTAATCTCTTTGTATCATCAGCTCTTTCCGATGAACAGTATCTCATAAAAACTTGGATATGATATTAAAATTACAATAAAAAGAAGAAGGAGAAAAAAATTGCGTCAAAGAAAGGTGAATATAAAACTCATCTATATTACTACCTGAAGCTGGATATATGCTAAAGAATAAATCCCAAAAAATGCACCTAACCTAAAAGACAATCAACAAACTTATTGACTGTACTACTACGAAAGCGGTAATAATCAAAATGTTTTATACAATATGTTAATTTTTAAAACCCTTAACTTTTTTTGCCTTGCTTTGAGCATTCACATTCGATACTAACCTCTTTGTATCATCAGCTATTTCTGATCAACAGTTTCTCATGAAACCTTGCATACGACATTGAAATTACAATCAAAAGTAACGAAAGGAAAGGATGCGTCAAAGGAAGGTGATAATAAAATTTAGATATAACCTCAGATTACTACTGCCCAAAAACGAAACCATAAAAATTCACCTAACCTAAAAGACAATCAACCAACTGATTGGCATTACAAAAGAAGAAATAATGGAAAGTTTGTAACACCGTCCGTGAATTTTTAGAAACCCTAACATTTATGCCTTGTTTTGAGATACTTCTGTCATTCGCATTCGATGTTAACCTCTGTATTCTACATTTGTATCGTTAGCTCTATATGATCAACAGTTTTCCATGAGAACTTGGATACGATATTGAAATTACAATTGAAAATAAAGAAAGAACAATATGCGTCAAAAGAAGGTTAGGTATCATAACATTTAGATATAACCTGAAATTAATACTTGAAGCTAGATATATGCCCAAGAACGAAACCCAAAAAAAGCATCTGTACTTTTACAAAAGCAGTAATAATCAAAATTTGTAATACGGACCGTAAATTTTCAGAACCGCTAATAGTTTTTTGCCTTGCTTCGACATATTTCTGTGATTTGTATTCGATATTAACTTCTACATCCCCCATTTGTATCATCAGCTATATCCGATCAAGAGTTCCTCTTAAAAACTTGAATACGAGACTAAAATGACAATGAAAAATGAAGAAAGAAAAAGATGCGCCAAAAAAATATATAT